GTAGAAAAAAATAAATAGATTTAGTGCCTACTGTATTTCAATAGCTAAACGACTGACAAAAAAAAATTAACAATAAGTATATTATGGTGACTACTTTTATATGTACATAATTTTACTTGCTTATTATATACAATATTTTGATATGTTTGTAAATAATTTTGTAACCTGTTTATAACTACTATAAATTTGATTATGTTAAATAATAATAAATTCAAATATGTAATGTAACAAGGAGTAGTATAAAAATAAAAAATGTACATATTACCTGATTTAATATAAAAATAAAATGGAAATATTTTTAAAGCGACAATAACTTTTCGATGACTAATATAATATTTATTTTGGTTGTTGATGGTTAAAACATTTATTTTTAAACCGTTTATCAACATCTTTAATCAGATATCTTTGATTATTTTATCATCTGCGGGATATCGGGCCCAATAATAATATAAGCGCTGGCCTAATTGTGGCCCAGCTTTAATAGAACCTTTTGCCCTCGTTGGCCACAGTGGTGACCGAACGGTACTGAATGTATGACCGTTCAGTCTCTACTATGTATAATACATAGTTTGACGAGCACGGTTCCGGTTTGACCTGGTTGACAGGGCACACAGCGCTGCTATAGTAGATAGACCGATCAGTCTTGGATGTTAAACGTTCGACTTAGATATCAATTAGTAATTGTCATATTAAATATATTTTAATCATATTTTCAGTCATATATATATATATATATATATATATATATATATATAAATGTTAATATATACTGATTCAATCGTTATTTTATTCATTAATTTGCTACTACTATTTAATAGTTATTTCGGTTACAATTTACGATTTACTCGTAACAATTTGTGATCAACTTTTTCCAATCACTAATTTTTATTGCTAAATTGTATTTTTTTTAGTTCAAAGATTAAAAGGAAAAAAAAAAGTTAACAGTGAAATTTATTGTGCAAAAAATGAAGTTGACTAAAGTAAGTAATACCTGAAGTTGCTTTTATAAGCGTGTTGAATGTAAGATTACAAAGATACAAATGTTTGAGTTATGAGCATCAGTTGTTTGATGTTAATGTTAATCTTCTTTTTTTAAATAGGTGAGTTAAAATACATCTTCTAATGGAGAAATCAATACTTTTATTATTTTAAAGAATTAATTTATGGAAAGACGTGGCATCATATTATTCAAAAAGAAAGTGATATGCCTCGTGGCTATAGATGTTGTGGGTATGATGAATTGTGACGTCAACAAGACACGTGTCAATCAACAATGGCCTATGCATGGCATGCTAAGTAAAGGCTCACGTATCAGATGCTCACACTAAGACAAATTTTTATGACACGTAATTCATTAATTAATCATGCTATGCCAAGAAATTCAAATTACTCATCTTCCTTTGATTTGTCCCACAGAATCAGAAGGAAGAATGGTTATTTAGAATGATAGAAAAAATAAATAATGTTTTAAAAAATATGATTTCTTGCAAGAGTATTTTATTTAATAATTCTTTTAATTTTTTTTCAAAAAGTAATTATTTATTATTATTTTTAAGTTTGAAATCTTTAAGACATGACATATCTAAAATTATGCATTTCACTAAAATAATGAGTTATATATAAATCATATATTTGGTAATCATGACAAGTTGAAATGTTAAAAATTACTTTATCCAGAACGAGAAGAACATATAAATTTGAAAAAAAAAAATATGTAGACATATTCATAAGTCATTCTTTCCTGAATAATATATACACAGAGAGAGCAATTAATCATCACTCTAAACATCGAGGTGCTCTAATTGAGTTCGCGATACAAATAAATAAATTAATATATATATATATATATATATATATATATATATATATATATATATATATATATATGTATGTATGTATCTTTTTATTATTTTTTTATTGTAAACAAACATATAGTAAATTTCATCTATATAAATAAACTTTTTTTAATAAAACAACTTTTGAATAATATTTGTAAAAGACAACCAAGCAAAAACCCGTGTAACTTCCTTCTTTAATGAATGTCTGGTCTGTTGCCAAGGTCTATTATGTTTTATTGTATAATTGATTGTGAATGATAAAGTATTAAATACAAATAAAAGGATATTAATGACAAATAAACAAATAAAAATAATTTATACCTATGTATATATAAAGGGAATTGGTCTTTTTATATCCATGTTTTCTAATTTTATTTTCTAAATAAAAAACTAAGTTAAATTAATTACTTGATCATTTTTACTGTTTTTAAATTTTAACCATTTTAATTAAAAAATTTCATACAAAATAAATAAACACCATTTACTATAAAATTATAAAGATTATTTATATTTAATTTTACAATCTATATCTATACCTATATAAAAAAATCATTTTTTCGTTTACACAATTTTTAAAAATCCTATCCTTGAAGTAATTATTATTTTAAATTAAAATAATTACATTTATATTTTTAATATATATTTAATTATTTTATAAATTAAAATCATTATTTTACTATTGTATCCTTTTAATAACTATATTTTTAATTTTAAATAATTATTTATAATAAAGAACTGTTTAATAAAAAATATACAAATTATTTATTTTCATAATTATTTTTAATAAAAATTATTGTATAATTTAATAAAAAATAAAAAACACATGCGTCTTACACATATTGCACTAGTACTAAATAATAGTAATAGTTATGAAATTAGCTATTTTAATTTATTCCATTTCTTTTATTTTGATTTTTTTTCTAAATTTACTAAAAAATGTTTTTTTTTTATAGATATTCCAATGTCATTATCTGTATACATGTATTTTTTTTAATTATAGCTTTAAAATACATTTCATAAAAAATTTAAAGTGCGGATAAATGAAATTTTTGATATTCCGTTTTTAAGGTAAACCTTTGAAATTATATTTTGCCATGTATATAGACGTTGTTAAAAATATAAAAATTAGTAGTCTTTAATATAATATATATATATATATATATATATATATATATATATATATATATA